TCATTATCTTTGGTGAGCGAAAAGTCCACTCCTGGAAATTGGGCCTTGTAGACGCTAATGTCACGCCTATGGTCAGCTCGAGAGGTTCCCTGATCAATCAAGAGACAGAGTTGTCAAGAAAAGATTTAAAGACCATCAAGGCTCTTACTATATGCTCCCTGCAAAGCTCATTAGCTACAAAGGGTGGCGATCCATGGCTTGAGATTGTCCCTCCCGGATATGGAGTTTTCCCAACTCCATTAACCATAATCAGTGGCTCACTGCTGTCATCATGGTAGACATCTCCCCCTCCAAAAACACCAGCGGCTGTTTGCAAAGTCCTGTAAATCGAGAAACTCACACCATTGATCAAGAAGGAAATCTCCAAACAATACCTTGTCATGGGAGAAACCACAACCAAGTCGACCTTGTCAAAAAGCCCACTTTGTCTAATTTGCTTACCCCGCTCCACAACCTTTGGCAAACAACATGTCATTCGAAAGCTAGAAACTATCACGTAAAACCTTTACCTGTTTCCAGCCGGTGGGCGTAAGGCTAGCGTCAAACTGGTCATCCAGGTGCTCCACTTTATCTGGGCTAAGAACCGAAACTCGGGCTTGGAAGAAGAGGGTAGACAGGACGTAGCAAAATGAACGCCACAGCCGCCAAATGACGTCCGCTGAGAGGCGGCGCCATCCGCCATCAAAGATCAAACGATAGAGCAAGCCCAAATTCAGAGCCACGATGTCATGGTTGTGATAGCCATGACCATGCCGCAACTATAAATCACATCAGATCATGGTTATTTGCTACCTCTGCCAACTTTGTAGTACATACCAGGTGGACGGTCTTCCATTCTCCCTCCATTGGTGAAGAGCTTTAGGGTTCTTGTGTCTTGAATATGGTTTTTATTTATTTATAAGAAACAAAGGTACTACAAAGGAAAAAAACATGTGATTTTTAGTTTTTTAAAACTTTTTTTTTCTCCTGGAGTTGCAACTCGAAGATTTTTGTCTGAGTGGCTTGCTACAGGGAGCAAACTAGCTACAAGCCTCGGCAAAACAAGAATCTCTCCAAAGCACCTACGTTGTGTAAACTTCCGGGTTTTTCATGTCCTCTGCCTCAAAATGACACCTCTAGTCTTATTTGCCATGGGCTGTTCCTGAGATGGCGGATACCCCTGATAAAAAAGAAGAGAAACGCCAAAAGAACAAACCAAGCTTAAGATCGAGAGGAGAGGCACAAAGAAACAAACGGAAAACAAAGACTATGGCCGGGGAAGAAATGGTTCTACCCAGGATGGCTGCCGGAACAAAACTGCGCTCCACAATTGCGTAAAGCAGCTGGGCAAGCAAAGCACGTCAAAGGGAAGAGGAAACCAAGAGAAGAAAGCAAAGAGAAAGCTCAAAAGAACAAAGAAAAACTCACCTATGGCTCAGGGATACCACTCAGAAAAGCAGCAGGATCATCAAAATGATCATCACCACCACTACTCTCCGATGAGTTTTCTAACACGGGTTCTGTCACTTGAAGCTTTTCCTCCACTGGTGGTTTAGCCACGAACCTCTTCCAGACATTAAAAAAGCCGGAGGAGGTTGATGTTGAGCCGCCACCAACACCGTTTTCTGGTTGAGTGGTAGCAGCAGCAGTGCTGGTTGGTTCTGGACCTGATTACGAAGAAAGAAGAAACACAGACCAAAAACAAAAGATGAAAAACGTGATGATCTTTCATCAGAGTATGAGATGAAATCTCAGTCAAAGGGAGGAGCACAACTTGTAAGTTGTGCTCGAAAGTCCGAGTTGACTCACTCCTGTGTGATGCAAGCAAGAGAAGCTTCACACTACCCAAGCAGCATACAGGCCAATGCAGCAAGAAAATAGACCTCAGGACGGGCAAATACGTGCCAGGAATCAGGAGACGGAAAGTTTACCAGGACCGTGGAGTTGCGTCTCCTTGATGATGTAGCCGTGTACATCATCTTGTCCGTGTTCTTGGACGCGCACGTCATTGACGAACTTGGGATTCTGGCACGAGAAATTTTGGCATTAGTAGTTTTCGAAAGACATACATACCCTGAAGCGGCTTTTGCCTGGGCCACCAAGGATTGCCGGGCTGAATGTGCACTGGTTGATCTCTTTCAACTCTTTTTGCCTTCTCATGGCTTCGATTTTCTCCTGGACTTTTTGCCTGTCTGATAAGATTATCTTGTACCATTGGTCCCTCGAGCTGGCAACATGAAGTTCAGAGAAGCACTCAAGTGGAGAAAGAAAAAAGCTTGCCTGAAGTCTCTCTTACGAGCAGCCAGCTTCCGAGATTTTTGGTTCATTTTCCTCTCAAATGAGAATCTCTCAGCCGTCTTTCTTCTCCAGCTCGATAGAAGCATGTGCAATCCTTTTCGCTTTCTCTGGAAAGAATCAAATTAGAGGCAACACAAGCAATTCCAAGAATCTAAACTATACCTGTACGGTTAGCATGAGATCCACAAACTTTTGAAATGGTAGGGGTCTTTCGGCTTCCGAGCCCATCTTTCTAGCTTCTGCGATGTTCAAGGCCACGTCTTCCTTGAGATCTTTTGTTTCGGCTGTTGCTAGCTCTACGTAGCCATCCTGCCACAAACAACAACATTATGAAGTTCTAAACGACAAGGGGCAGTGAGTACCTTGTCATCGTCTAAATAGCCAAACAGCTGTTGGAAATTCCGCTGCTCGAACCTTACAGCCAATATTTCAGATTTTTTGAGGGCGTAATGGTGATTGGAGAGGTTTATCCAGACTCGATTAATATTTTCTTCCAAAGCCTCCTTCTTAGCCCTGGCAGCAACATCGAGATTGTAGAGAAACTCTCCAATAGGCAAAGATTTTTCATTTCGCTGCAACCAACAGAAAAACTCTTGTTATTAACTGATAGAAAATTTTGTACTACCTTTATGTTTCGAGGACCCCGCCCAGTGAGTGGAGTGAACAGCTTTTGCCCCGTTGAAGGATCAACGAGTTCCTCCTCGCGCTCCTTCTGCCTTCTGCCGGTCAATCTAGCAGCATAATCCAGAAGCCTCGAAAAAACTGAGGGCTCGCGTGATGCTTTCTTGATCTTACTATAGGCTGAACTAGCGCTGTCTGGCCTTGATTCTGGTTCTTGGCAACACGGCCGATTAACTTCGGGTCGGAAAGTAATGCTGCATGCCAAGGAAAAAACTATATGAAACTGAAAAAAGAAGTTTGAAGATGAAGACGTACCCATCAGGATACCACAGCATGTACTTTTCCTGACGCTTTTTACGAGACTCAGCGTCCCAAAACAGTAAGTCGAACCGAGAAACAGTACCGTGGCTGATCTCTTTAATATCAGGCCCCGAGGAATTCACACGAGGCTTGAAAGTGCACTCCATCACTTCGAGATCGGCAGTCTGAAAAGATCCCAGTTCTAACAAAATCAAAGAAAAAAACGATGGATGAACCTGTTCCCTCAAACTTTGCAAGCGACTCTCCGACCGCCTGGTGCTCTGGAGCCGCTCCCAAACTTCTCCTGCTTTGCGTTTAAGGTTTCTTGCCAACTTACTGCACGAATCAATGAAAAGACAAAAGAAAAATAGCATCTCGACATCGTATTAGAGTCGGTTTCAAGTACCTGATTGCGGGGCTCCCGGTTACTCCTTCCATTTCAGATTCTTTAAGTTCCTTTTGTCGGGATTCATAAATCTTCTCCCTGTGCTGAATGGCAAGTATAGCCTCTCTGTAAAGAAGCTCCCCGTAGTTTTGAAAGTGTTTGGCCGCTAACTCCCTTACTTTCATTATTTTCCTGGATCCCTGGAAAACAGAACTTGGATGTTCAGAAGACGTAAAAACATGTAAGTGCTTACCTTTGAGAACACGAGCCTTTTCTTCTTAAGCTGCTGCTCGTGGAAATCCTCATAGGACCGCCTTTCTTCCTCTCGTCTTCGGTGGTAGAGCTCATATTCGGCATGCAAGCGCGCACATAGAGCTCTCTACTGTAAGCAGTGTAAAGTAAGAGACTCAGGCCGTCAAAGTTTAGCGAAAACACGAGGCTCCATATACCTGCTTGTCTGAGAGCCGGACAACAACTTTCTTCTTCTTTTTGGGAGGCTGAGGAATAAGCTTGGCCGCGCTCGTGAATGTACACGACATAAGTCTCTCCGAAAACGCCCGTTGCTTGCGCTTGAGATCCTTCTTCGGTTTTCGCTCGTGTTTAAATGGCCTTTCTGGCCTGGAATGAAATCTTCTGGATGTATATTTTCCGGATTCCTTCTGGATCCTCCGTTTGGAGAACAAGTATTCATCCTCGAGCTCACGACCGTAGTCGGGTCCAATGTACCGACAACAATGATCATCATTGAAATTGCTACACACAAAGAAGAGGAGAAATGTAAGGTTTCCACTAGAAAGACGTGCTCACCTTATTTTGTTGATGTGTTCAGTCAGCGGTAAAACAAGCTGGCTGGGAAGATTTTGATCATGACAAAACTTGGAAGCAATTTGCTCGGCCGAGTCACCCTCTTTCATCTGAATATGCACCTCCCTGCCATCCTCCACCTCCACGGTGATGTCAAACAGAACTTCCCGCTCCTCAATTTCTACGTTTGTTACGACGACATTAAAAAGAAAACCGAAAGGAAAGGAAAACGAACAGAGAAGAAAGAAAATGCTTACTGTGTGTATCACACATGTCTTGCTGTTGGCGTTCTCGCAAAACCCGGCTTTTCCTCTTGGGACGCTGCTGAAGCCAAGAAAAGAAGAAAGTTTCAAACTTTCTTCTTTGAAACCAATGAATGGAGAGAGCAACCATACCTTGGACGTGGAAGACTTTGATCCGCTATCCTGCGAGGCATAGTTGGCCAACCCAGGCTGGTTCTCGAGATCCTGGTACTCGGGGGTGGACTGGCGAGACTTCATGGTGGCGACGAGAAATGCTACCGCCGGAGAAGAACGAGAGAGATGGAGTGGTTATGACTGTTTGGCGGTGAGCGCCCCTGGGCGAGGCGGGCGCCACATAAGCTATCAAAATGTGCCAAGTCAGGCCGTGACGATGTACGGCAAAAGGTTTATAGTTCACGGGACATCGTCCGTACATGTTTCGTTTACGTCTACGTCTCTCACCAGGCTTGAAGAAGCTCTCTTTCTTCAAGCCACTGTGATCGCTTGAGGCGAATCGTAGTGGAAGGGATCGTCCAAGTCCCCCAAGACGACCTCTTGCTGTTTTGGTTCCAAGTCGATAAATTCGTTGGACTTCTTGGCCAGATGTGAGATGCTCACTCTGCCTTCTCGCTTTATGTAATCCGCCACCGCTTTCATTTCCTCCGGAGAGATGTAAATGAACTTCCCTCGATCGTCCATCACACCAGACAATCGCCCTGGAAAACCTCAAACTCTTTTCAAGAACACAACGAAAAAACAAAGAGACTCACCCATTTGTTCCAAGGATATTATCCGGTCGATACATTCCTGCGCAGTCCATAAAGAGAACCACTAACCATAAGTTACATTGAGATACTTACCTGCGTACGCAAGTGGAACTCCGCGGCTAAGTCTTCCAAAGCTACGCACTTGTGATTCTGAAACAAGGAAGAGTAAGCAAGAACCACAAACAAAGCACAGTATCAAACCTTGATGAAATTAACGAAGTCGTTGATAAGGCTCTGGCCTTCCTCCGTGTTCTCGCCGGATGTGCCTTCTGTGTCCACAGAGAACGATCCCTTCCACATATCAAACTCTTCGACAGCAGCAGCCTCCTCGTTCTCCTTTTGCATTTTCAGCTCCTCCTCCTGATAGAGAAGCGTAAGTTTGTTCCATGCTAATCGATGATGCTTCGCATTACCTTCCTTTGCTCTTCAGCCTCACGCTCTTCATCTTTGCGTCGTCGTAACTCTGCGTGCCTGTCTTGCTTCTCCCTCTTATGATCTCGAGCGGCAGACTCGGCCTAAGCAAAAGAAATGGAATTTACTCTACAAAGTATGGTAAACTTTTCCAGACCTGCTTGCGTGCTTCTTTGTCTTGTTTCTTTTGCTCTCGTTTCTTCGAGCTCTTGGCCGTGTAGTAGCCTATCTCTTCGCCGTCTTCTTCCAATTCCCCTTCTTCATCTATGCAAAACTCTCACGATCGGTGAAAGCGGAGAGAATCCAAAAGTCATACCTCCTCCGTTGGTGGACGATGACGCTGCTGCGACGGGCCTGCGTCGCATTCTCCGGCTCCCTGCCGTGATTCCAGCGCTGTGGCTCGACGACGCGCCAGAATCATTAGCAACAGGATCATCGGAGACCTGCCAGGCAAAAAATCTCGATTACTATCGCTCCAAACCGATCTCAAACTTACCGCGCTCGAAGATTTTGGAGAAAATCGGCCATAGAGACTCCAAAAGACAATGGCGATGAGCGCAAACAGCACCGGAAGACCAAGGAGCAGCAGCATTCCCTCCATCTCCAGCTTAGGGCAAATGGAAAAACTCCATTGGGGTTTACCAAAGCATCAACGAATATTCACATGCCTGGCATATTAAAAAAAAATCACATTTCTAGTATATTCAAGGATCCTTTTCAAGAAGATTCACATTTTTGGCATATTTTAAGACACATTTCTGGTATATCCAAGAATATTCACATTTGTGGTATATTGCATTACAAGATCAGTATATGTGAAGACAGACTAAATGTTTACAAGCTAAGCACATCAAGAGAAAGAGAGAGAGAGTGAAAGCAACAAACCAGGCGTCGTATCAATCAGCTCCTGATGTCAAGAACAAAAATGGGAGCTCCAAAAAGAACTTCGAATCAGGGGCTCAGCACTGGGGCGGCCGGTGGCAATGCTGCGCTGTCGCTCGGACGGAGAGGCACAGCCAGCGATGGATCCAGGCTATGGAGCTCCTCCAAGAGATGTGATCGTCTCTCCTTGAAGTAGTCCAGGCGTGTCGTGAGCTCGGCCAGCGGGCTCGGAGCATGGCGCTGAGCTGCTACTGCCGCTGCCGCTGCTGCTGCTGCCATCTCGTTCTGGTTTTTCCACGCGAATTGCCTCGCTGAAGGCCCCGAGGGAGGTTGTAGCGCTTGCCAGTTCTCTTGCTGAATAGTCCGCCTCCGGAGATCATGGCCTCTAACTCTCTCGGCCTTCAAAGCCTCCTGGCAATGCGCGAAGCGATAAGAAAGTGGTAAGGAGATGTAGCAACGAGACCAACCTTTGCTTCGAGCAGTGCATTGCGTTGCTGCGTCAGGACGTGCTCGAGGGACGAAGCATCTTGATCTGTTTGACTCTCGAGCTAGAGGGAAAAAAAGGTGGCATTAGTGCTTGATCACTGGCTGGAAACATTTACCTCGTCGTTCCGTTGCCTTTCGTGGTGGCACAAAGCTAGAGTCACGTCCAACTCTTGCTGCAATATCTTCCTGCAAGAGCGCAGAAAAACAGGAAATAAAATGAGCTTTCAGTCAGGCGGTTTCTTTGCTCTTACTGCTGAGATTGGAGACTTTTATAGCGCTGCTGGCGCTCAGAGGTATCCGGCATCAAGCTTACTTGCTGTTGACGCTGCTGATTAAGCTGTATGTGTAGTTCAGCAACCTTCTTCTTCAGCTCTGCAACGTCTGCTTCAACGACTGCGATCTCTTCCAATTCAGCTCTAGTCTGCAGGCATTGCAAGCTCTCGTTACAAAAGTGCTACTGCTACACAGTTCTTACCTGGGAGTCCATACTTCCTCCAGTTGAAAGGCTGAACCCGGATTCCAAAGCAGTTCGTAGTTCTCGTTCGACTCGCAGCTGTTCTTGAAGCTTTGCTACCTGGTGTTTACAATTTGAAGTCAAAATCTCATAAAAAAGGAAAGGAAAATAGCACGAGCATACGTCTTGTTCAAGAGCGAGCCGGCGATCATGAAGTGCTTGCTTTCGTCTTTCCAAACTCGCTTGAAGAATTGCATTTCCTTTAGCCTAAGCTTGCACATATCAGTACAATAACATGCAAGAACGCGAGTACCTCCTTAGCAATCTTAGCCCGAAGCTCGCTTCGAGTAAGCTCCAGCCGTTGAATTGCCGCTCTACAATACACAGTAAGTACCGCAAACCATATCTCAGCAACTTACTCCTCATCAGCAGAGCCATCAACAGGTTCATTTCTGGAGCTAGCCTGAAATCTCGTTGTGTCATTAAATTTTAAACCTTTGTCCATGCATATACCTGGCTGCCAGATGTCGAAGCATGCAGCTTGGAGGAGGGCTTACGAGCGCTTAAAAGATCGAGTTTCGGTGTTGTCGCAGGACGTCCACTATCTTCCCAAAGCACCTCATTTCTGTTCTCATTTCTCAGATGAATGGGTTTGGACCACCCTTTCAGTGGCTTCCCTCCAAAAGCATCCTTCTCCATCTCTTTACCGTCATAAGCCTGGACATAGAAAATTGATTGTGAAGGGAGTTCTCACTAAATAAAATCAGTAATACCTTGTAGTCGAACGTATCACTACCAGCATTGCTACTAGTCTCGCTAAGAGCGCCACTATGAACACGTTCTGGATCCTCGTCCGGTTGAGCATCCAAGTCATTCTCTGCGTCGTGATAGCCATCGGTCTCGTGCATTTGTAGAACTTCTTCTTCGGATGACTCTCCGCTCTCGCTGCCTTCCAGGTTAGGATACATCTCGGGCGAGGGAGGCCCCTGTTGATCATTATCCTGTTAAAAGTATACGTTAATAATTTTGATTTGATTTTCTATAATTTTAATTTTGGTATCGAGACAAACCTCAAAAATATTGTCATACTCTTCCAGTAATGTTGTCACGATAGCTTGGGCATTGTTAGCAGCAACTGCAGCGGCGTGGACCTGTGCAGCATGGTCACCGCTTATGTCCGAATCATCCTCTAGACCGCATTCGCCAGCTATAAGGGGTCTAAGAAGCAAAGGTGCCATACAAGTAGCAACCGCTGAAGCCGTCATCAGGTTGTCTGAAGTATGTGCGGCGATAGCCCGACCCATTCTTAAGACTCTGCCATATTCCCATTGTATTAAAAAGAAAAACAAAAATGGAGTACAACAAAGAAAAGTACCTTTGCAGAAGCCGACGATTAGGCTCGGGAAACGTGTCAGCAACTGCTAACCGCATTGACGTAATGCGAGCTTCTTTGCTTTCAAGCCTATAAGCTTCAAGAAGTGCGGTGCAGCAAGGAGTCGGCACGGGAGAGGAAGGGAGCTCCCTAAGTACAAGCTGCAAGGAACTCTTTAAGACTGATTTTATCAACGTAATTCTCATTACCTTTATGCAGTCACTCACAACATGAGCGTCTTCGTCTGGTGAGAAGCTAGTTTTTCCTGTCATGGTGATAGAACGTAGATCACGTGTTCACAGAAAAAGGAACCTATACCTTGTTCATAGTCGCGAATACGATGCTCCACCTCTTCCACATCCGCACACTGACGTAAAATTCCCTCCGCTTTGACTCCTGCCAAATTGCAGCACCTAAGAGAACAGCACAAGGATAAAATTATCACCGTACCATAACGCTCAATGAAGCACAAAGCCTTCTCCAGGAACGATGGACTACCGTCAATGTCTTCCAAAGCAAGTAAAATTGGTCTACCGACAACCATTGACTTGACGGATCTTCTGTCTTTCCCTACCAGAAAAAAAAAAGAAAAAGAAAATGTCAAGTCAGCAGCTCGCTGGAAAACTAAAATTCCTACAGGCACCTAATTCAGTCGATGTTTCAATCACATCAATAGAGTCGTTGCGAAAAATCCCATCGTGCCCCACTACCAATGCGGCATTAGGGGCTGCAGCAAGCGCTCGCTCGAGGGCTACCTTCCATTCTTCGACATCCTCCGATGTCTCGGCCTGTTGGTTACGGAAGTTCAGAAACAGATACACTATACATCAAGATTCCTCTACGAACGTAAATGACGCACCTTGAGGGTAACAGTTCGGCCATCAGGGAACATTACAGTGAGCAACTTTTTATCGGCACGAACAAGAACACTAACAGAAAAGAGAACGAATCGCATTTAGCAAGGACAAACTTTCTTTAATTTGAAGATACGTACCTCCCGGAATTATTGAGATCGATTCCACCCAACGTCATGCTTGCTTCGCTTCCTCGTAGCGGAAGAACGTTCTGCTCGGGAAGAAAAGTATGCAAGACTGAGTAAGTCTGCGCATCAGTGGACCAGTAGCATTACCGGATCGTCCTTGAAAAAGACTAGTGACGTCCTCGTAAGTATGAACCACCGTCGTTTCCATGACTTCCATCCCAAACCTGTGAAAAGAAACGGAGGAAACGAGCTAAGATAGAGAAAGAAATCATCGCTTCGACTACCTTTGGAAGAAATCAACAGCGGGCCACTCTTGAAGACCTGGCAAAGCACACCAAACATAAAACGCATCCACAAAGTAGCAATCCATCAAGAAACTTACAGCGTTTGACCGAGTTCGTGGCCGCTCGAATGGCGTCACCATTGCTTGCTAGAATGCTGCTACTCCAAAACCGCGTCTCATGACCGGACGAATCGAAGAGTCTTGCTCGCGAATTCTACTTCCCGTGACGATATTTCACCTGCATTGCCCGATTCCAAACCCTACCACGCCGCGAGAAATCCCTGCTGGACCACATCTTATCTCGCCCGCGCCGCCCCGGCCCAATCCTACGAAATCCAAGCCAGAATTCCACGGATTCCAGCTCCAGCCGCGAGAATCCGAGGATCCGAGGGCCTAGCAACAAGAATCTCGCCGCAACAGGACTAGATCGCCATAGCCGCAGCTCCTCCACGCCCTGTCTTCCTCCAGACGCTGCGCGCCCTGCGCCCTACTGGAACAAGAGGCCAAACACCACTCCCCGGGCAAACAGTGCTCGTCTTCCACGGCCAGGCCGAAAGAGTCCGACGTGGCAAGCGCTAGATCGTTGGATAGAGCCTCACACGTTCGGCGCACCCGTTGAAATAAAACGAGAGCTTACGTGGCGAGCTCTCGCTCGTTGGTTTGGCGAGGATCGACGGCGGGCGGTGCCACTCCGTCATGACATGTTAAAACCATATAATCAACCCATCAGTTCTAAACTATTGAAGTTTCTTCTCTTCATCCACGAATTGAAAGGATCAATTGAATAGCCTGGCTCCATCCGCAAAGTGGTAGCTAGTCGCAATCACCCACCAATTGACAAGGTCTACAAATCTTTCCATTCCATTAACCTTCGCTATGTTCTCATTGTTTTGAGTAGCAAAAGTTCCTTCCTGCGTTTGTTTATCATGAACGACGACAGTGATACCCACCAAAAGGAACACTCACCGAAAAGAGAGAGAGAGAGACGCTTGAAGAGAAGTCGTGGATCCTTTGCTTGAAGAGCTTTTCGGCTTTTCTCTTGCATTGCATTGCCCTTCTCCTTTGCTCTCTAGAGGAAGGAAAAAGAGTTGAAAGCTTTAGGTGCCGACAAAGCAAGAGAGAATTAAAATTGTGTACCAGGATTTCCTTTGCAATAGTGGTCACCGACCGTGAAAAAAGAGAAGCTTCACCACTAAGAACTTAAGCTTACTCTTCCTGTGCCGTCGTTTTACACGTAGCGAAAGTCTTTCGATCGCTTTGATAGACAGATGGAAGGAGACGGCTGCTGCATTGCTTGCTCCATCAATCCGCAAGATGGCCACCTAAAACGGAATTCACCTTCAGTCTGCACGAAAATGCCAGATGTTACCTGAGAGTGAAAGCTTCGTCGGTCGACAAAATTCGAGTAAAAATTATACACGATGGTCAGGAGCGAACATAACCTTTGAAAAGCTTGAATAATTCTTGAAGAATGGCATTTAAACTTGCATAGATCAAATGAAAAGGAATGCGGGTACCTCGTTGGCAAGCTCCAACCGGTGAATTGCAGCTCTACAATGCTTTATAAGTACCGAAAATCACATCTGACCAGAAACATACTCACTCCTAAGAAGTTGGATCATCAGCGTAATCATTCTTCAAGTGCCAATGCGTCAAAACCTCTGTTCATGCATATGCCTGTCGAAGCGTACGGCTAAGCGGGTCCACTAGGCAATCTGGGACCTGGAAAAAACCGCTTGTCAAAAATCTTTCTTCTTGTAAAACCACAAGTAATTACCCAGCGTTTCAGCTTGTTGGACACGATCTGCCTGCACAGCTCCCAGGATAAAAAGAAAAGTGAACGGTAAATGGGATCGAAATAAAAAAATAATCTCTCTTGATAATTCACGACATCTACAAAGCGTACGTACCTATCTGAGCTAAAGCGTCCTAAATTCTACGAACCGGGAAAGGAAAAAGAGTGCGTACGAACTTGCCGCCCTGCAATCAAATGGTTTATCGTTTTGTCTGAGGCAAATCATAAAATGAACACCACAGTTTTACTTGCCTCCAGGAAACAGCAGTTTTTCTAAAAGTTGTAATAGTTGTTGTTGTTGTTGTTGTTCATAGCGTACGCGACCAAAACACCTATTAAAGCCACTGCAATCAACAAAACGATCGACAAGCGCACTCTGGACGAGCTCAGTGCACTCGAAGTGCGACCACTTGTTGATCCTTTGCTTGCAGGACTTCTTGGATCCAATTTTCTCTAGAAAGAATAAACATATAACAGACTTTACAATCCGAGAAACTTGGAAAAGAAATACCTGATCCTGTTGCGCTTGTTTCCCTGCTAATGGCTCTTTGGAAGCCGCGGGAGATGGAGCAGAATCACCAGGAAGATAGACCACCTTTAACTTGATATCGCAGATGCCTTGGCTATCTTCTTTGGTAAACTGTAGAGAACCTTTTAGCACAAATGAGAAATTGAATGCCAATACCATTTTCGACTGGATGTCGTCTACTGTTGTTTGCTCTGTTGCAACAACACTTAGTATCATAAACTTGTCCTTGCATTGAAAATCCGCCGGAGCTTCTCGTTGAGCTTGCATAGTGACTGGAGTATCAAAACCAAGAGACCAAAACTTTTACCAACTTAATAGAAAAAAAAAAACCATAGCTTAGCTTCTTACAGGCAACATCGCAGGTACCCCGAGGCTGTATGACACCAGCATTCGGACGCACGCAATACCGTTTTGGAGCAGTGGTTTTTACCTGTCACAAATTCTATCCAAGTTCGATGCGGTGGTTTTAAACTCAAGAAGAAAAAGATAGAAAGACCTTAAACGCCACAAATTCGTCGCCCACATTGTTGAGCCGAATCGAGCATGAAAGCTGCTTTTTCAACTCAACTGAAAGGAGGAGACAAAAGAAAAAAAATAGAAAAACAAGTCAATTCGAAGCTGCAAGTGAGATCGGAGCCACTTACATCGAAAAACCAATTCACTGGGTTGGACTGTGATAAGCTCTGGCATGATTTCCGCCGCAAAGAGAACTACACTCAAATTTTACCTCCCATACAGCATCAAACGTAGCAGCTTCGATCAAGATTCGCGAAGCCCCACGCCGCACCATCAGTCCACCGCCGCGCCGCGGTCGCGAGAGAGGAGAGAGCCCGCAATACCAAAAACCCTAATCTCTGGAGATTGAAAGGGCAGGCAAGGCGGGAAATTCTGGATTCCATCCAACGGCCCACATTACGACACCGCTCCACCACTAGAATTTAATGCGGCCATCTCGAACCATCCATTTCCTATCGGACGGCTCATGCGCTTTTGAGCGTAATCCCCGCCTTTATAGTGCCGTCCGATATGCCTATCGGACGGCTCATGCGCTTTTGAGCGTAATCCCCGCCTTTATAGTGCCGTCCGATATGCCTATCGGACGGCTGGCCATCGTCCTCCCTGCATTGCTAGGGCTCTTGAGCTCGGGTTTGATCTAGGCGCTCCTTTTCGCGCTTTCGATTCTTTCGCTCCTCGCTGTGCCCCCGATCGCCCCAGCAGCAGCGCGCAAATCTTGGAGGATGATATCAGGTCCGTCTCGCGAGTTCTCGGTGTGAGGGTTTTTTAGCTGGAGGATGATCGTTGGCCAGTCGAAAATGGGAAATGCCGATTTTGATCTCCCGGAATCAATATGCTCGGTGCTACCCGACGATCCTTACGAGCAGCTGGATGTGGCGAGGCGGATCACAGCCATGGCAATTGTGGCTAGAGTAGGAAAGCTAGAGGCAGAGGAGAAGAAGGCTTCTCAGAAGATTTTGGAGAGGGAAAGAACGATCTATGAGCTCCAGGAGCGGCTTGTGGAAGCCGAGCGATCCTTGCAAGAGACAAACGCTCGCCTCGGCCATGCGTTGGAAGAACAGGTTTGGGAATTTCTTTTTCACAGTGCATTGGCAAATGCGACCTCTCAAAAAAATATTACTTTTTCCAGGCCAAAATGGCAAACGAGAAGAACGCACTTATGGCGACTGTTAAGAAGCTGAATCGTGACGTTGCTAAGGTACTTAACTCTTTCTTTTTCCCTCTTTATAGCCTTGATTTCTTGCTTTTCTTACGTAGCTGGAGACTTTCAAACGCACACTGATGCAATCTCTCCAAGAAGAGGATGAAAATTCTTCCACTGTAAGTTTTTCAAGTGTTCCTCGTTATGCTTGACCGATCGAGCTACTTCAATTGTGTGGTGCAGTTAGAGAATGGAGACAAGCATCTCCTCCGATCTAACATGAGTTCTCATGCACTTCCGTCCCATGGTAAACCGATTGTGAATTGTTACTTTTTTACGCTACCATTCGTACGGGATGATAGTGCAAGTTTTCTTTCTTCCAGATGGTCGACCATTTACAAGGGCGCAACTAGTAGAAGCCTCAAACGCTATTGTAGAGGATCCCGAAGATGGTAACAAAGATTTTTTCATTCTGTAAAGCTTGTTGTTTTTTTACTAAGTTGCTTTTCTGGTTACAGCAGGTTCCAAGCAGAAGTTTCTTTCGATGACACCAAGTCTTACTCCAAAACTTACTCCCACTGGCTCTCCCAGAAGACAGTCCACGGCTACTTCTCCCAGAAGGCATCATCCTTCGAACGGAATTCGGAGCTCATTTTCACTCTCTCTTCCTGCTAGTCAAGCCACGACAGCTCCGAGTTCTCCTCCACATGTTGGTGCTCTACCAGGTATTATGCTCACACGCATTCTGGCTGGCTGTTACTAACATTTAAATGCTTTTGTAGTTCGCACTCCGAAGGTTGATGGGAAAGAGTTTTTCCGCCAAGCCAGGTTTGTGTTTATTGTTGTTAATCCGATGTTCAGAGTCTCAAACGCGTGCTCCCCAGGAACCGACTGTCATATGAACAGTTCAGCGCTTTCCTTGCTAACATTAAAGAGCTAAATGCTCACAGGCAGACACGAGAGGTAAAACTTCTCCAAAATCACGCTTCTGCGTTTCTTAACGCGCTAGTGCTTCGCAGGAAACATTGCGAAAGGCAGATAACATATTTGGACCTGGAAATAAAGACCTGTACATGTCATTTGAGGGATTGCTCAGCCGCCACCTTCCTTCGTAAGAGAAAGGTGGAAGATCTCGTTCTCGGAGATCAGTAAGGTCCAAGCTATCCAGTGTTTCTTATTTCCTTTTGTCTTAACAAACTGAAAGAATTGAGGAGTGTTTCCAGCTGAGAAGATTGTTGCATCAGATCGAAACCTTGGACTGAATTGGATCGTTCACAAGGCTCGAAAGAAACACATAAGCTGTTGAGTCTCGCGGCCTAGACGAAAGAAAGTACTTGGCTGCTTGAATGCCATAGCCGACATCGCCAAAGCTTCTACAAGCTGCCAGTAGCTTTCTCCACTGCCAAGCTCCAGCCTCGAAAGGCATGCTCGCGGCAAGCTCCAGCGCGCTCCCAAGCTGTCCAGCTCTAGCCAAGACATCAACAAGGCAGCAGTAGTGCTCCATCCCTGGATCCACGCCAAAGTCCACAGCCATGCCAACAAAGTATTCTTTCGCGGACTCGACTCTACCTTCGTGGGTGCAAGCGAGCAAAGCTGCCAAGAAACAATTTTTATCTGGCATGTCGAAAAGTTTCATATTTGTGAAGGTGGCAATGGTTGCTAGAGATTCCCCTCTCTGGGCATATGCCGAAAGAATAGAGCTCCATGCTACTGGATCCCCTTCTGGCATTGACTCGAACAGTTTTCTCACTTCGACAAGATCCCCGACTTGGGCATTTGCAGCTATCATTGAAGTCCATGAAACAACATTGCGGTGTGGAGTTGACGCAAAAATCCCTTTAGCAATATCAATATGCCCGGCTTGGGCATAAGCAGATAGCACTGTGTTCCAGCTGCTTGGGCTCCTGTGCGGCATTGAGGAAAACATCTTTGTAGCGGAGGAAATATCCCCAATTGAAAAGAATGCTTCTATCATAGCATTCCAAGCAGCTGGTGTTCTCTCAGGCATTGTGTCAAATACAAACTTTGCGTTTTCGATGTTTCCAGTTTGGATATGTGCTAACATCACTGAAGTTGATGATGAACTATCATGTTCTGGCATTTGGGTGGTAAAAATCTCCATAGTTTTGTACGGGCATCCATTTCTTATGTGGCTAGACAGTACGGCATTCCAGCAGGCCAGGTTTTGCCACGGCAACGATGAAAAAAATGACCACACTCCATCCAATCGCCCAAAATGGGAATATGCCGAGAGCATCGCGCAGCACAATGGAAGGTTGTGCTCGGGGATCTTTTCAAACAAGGAGCGCGCCTGCGGAAGATTCCCACACACGGGAAGGAATATTGTCACCGACACAATGTCTAGTTCGGGTATACACTCAAAGAAGCGAACGGTTTGGTGGATATGCCCATTGTGGGCATATCCCGAAAGCATTGAGTTCCAAGATACCACATTTCTATAAGGCATATGCTGAAAAAAAAGTGCGCCTTTCTCTACGTCGTGTTGAGAATACGCACCCAGAACTGTGTTCCAGGAAATGATATTCCTAGCCGGCATCTCCTCGAAAATGCGCTCTATATCCCAAATATGCCCAACTTGGGCATATTGAGATAGTATAGCATTCCATGACACAAGATTCTTCTCCGGCATTGCAGCGAACGTTTCTTCAGCCCTGGACATTTGCCCTGTACGAGCATATGCTGTCATCATGGATGTCCACGACACGGAATCTCTTTCGGGCATGGCATCTAGAAGAGATTTTGCTTGGTTTGCGTTAGCACTCTGGGAGCATTTGTGAAGTAATGCGTTATAAGAGATGAGATTCCTTTGTGGCATTGATTTGAAAAAATCTTTAACTTCATGCAAGTCTCCAAGAGCAAGCATGGAATTGTAGGATGCCAGGCTCCAACAAGGCATCATCTCAAAAAAGGCCTTTGATTCTACAAAATGCCCACTCTTAGCAAATGCGCTGAGCATCGTAGTCCACGACACGATATCGTGCAGTGGCATCTTATCAAATATAATCCTACATTGTTTTATATTTCCAGCCTTTGCCTGAGTAGAGAGCAGCATATTCCAAGAAACAAGGTCTCTCCCAAATTGAAGATGCATTGCCTACACTTTTGAATCAAAAATATCTTTAGTTGATCATACTTGTTAGAGGTTTTCACACTCAACTCTCTGGAAGGAGATCTGAGAGGCAACGAGATCATAGAGAATGTGGAAGTTTTGCTGTTGCATGTTTCCAATGATGGAAAGATCACCACCGGAAGAATCCATGCTCAAGCACACAACATCTCTGCTCGTCACCTGGAAGATGTTCTCGAATGGAAGAACGAGCTGGACCTGGTTTGCGAAGTAAAAGGTGACGCTTGGGAAGCCATAGCTCGTGTCCCCAGAACTGTTGAAGCAAAGATCAAGGCCCGCCGAATTGCCGAGTGTGGGAAGTATCACTTGTTCCTCGATTGATTTCCTCATGGCTTCGTAAACCGGGGGAGTTAGCAAGGTGTACGTGGTTCCGGAGTCAATAACAGTCTTGTTCGCTAGAAAAGGTCCAACGCTAGTGTTGTGACCTGATTCTTTATCATAGACCACCACTGGAACGCCACCGATCGTGATACTTTGGAGATCTACGTAGTAGAGGGTTTGATCCAGGTGATCACCGTGAAGAATCGGGGTGGAAACAACATCATGGCCTCTCAAAGCCGCGGAAGATCCCAGAAAGAGAAAGCTCTTTGCACTTGGAGGGCTGTCATAGCTCACGAGACAATACGAGAATTTGTAGCCAAGTTTATCCCCGAGCTGCTGGATCAACGAGTGCGATTTTTGTCCCAAACCAATCAATCCCTGGGTGAAGTTCCAGTCACCTTTTAGCTTCCGTGCACAGCCAAACAAGAAACCATCAAAGAAACTCCTGTGATCCTCTCCGGCTCCATGGCTTCGGAAGCTGATCCTGTCGGAGCCAACATCTCCGGAAGTCCTGGAACCGTCACCGTACTCATACTTGTATTTGCAAGTTTCCTCGCAGCGAGGACCAATCCCAGCCGAGGACATGCCACTGCAGTGCGTGCTATTGCACGGGAGCTTCTTGTATGAACTGGAAGCATCGGAGAAAAAAATGGTCTCGCCGTGATGATCCAAGTCGCAGTGATCGCAATTATCACACTTGAGCCAAACGAGATCACTCCCTGTGTCGATCATGGCCGGGATCAGCTGTGGAGGAGTTCCAATGCTCAGCTCCATCATATACTCGCCTTCTCCCCCGCCAGCCTGATAGATGGAGCTCGACAGCTCCGGCGAGTGGCGGTCGCGAGTGTTGTTTGATTTGGTAGGACTATTCGATGTTTTCCTTCGATCCGAGAAGAAGTTTGCTCGGGATTTACTCGTCTTGAGCGCCTTCTCGAGCCTCTTTGCTCTGGTCAGCGTGCCGGAAGCGTAGGAGTCTACTTGCTTGAGCTCTAATCTATATCCTGGGTGGTGTTCCGAGAGAGCGTGGATGCCATAGCTTACCAGGACAAGAAGAAGTACGCGCAGCTCCATACCGTCTTTCTTCCGACCCAAACAACAATCCATGACTGGCATTGTCTGCACCTTTTTTATCTTGCGTGCCGAAATAATGGCACGTCTTCACATTTTAATATGAACATACAAACGTGAAGCTTACCTTAGCTGGCCGATTCAACTAAATCCCACACTTTGCTTACCAAGTTACCTGTACAAGATCCATATTTTCCATTATCATTTTAACATGAACATAATTATGTTTGTTTCATGATACATAAACATTAAAGGCCACAAGCATCAACCATGAAACACAAGGTGATCATCAAAGACATCCACCATAGAGTGTTAAAGACCCATGAACTATTGCACTGCCCAGGGTAAGAGCCTCTTAAGTGGTGAGGTACATGGCGTTAGTAGATTGGCTCATATTCAAATTTCACTTTATGATTAAATGTACAAGTAAACTATCATACTTTCATAAATCTTTAGAAAAGCATTTGGTTAAGACACAATATATAGCTTGTGACAAAAGAATTCATAAGATAACATAAATCAATTTCCCTTTGAATTTGCTAATCAAAGGTTACATCAAAAATCAAAATGGCAAAGCAAATGAGAGAGAAAAAACAAAATTTTAGTGGTCAATATTGCTTCTTATTGCAGCAGCTAATAAGAGTTATATTTTTATGGTCAATGTAAAATGCAAAAGATTAAGGATGGTTCAAGAAATTCTCCATATAACTCTGTATAGCCCACTGTTAACCTAAGAACTTGTTCTAAAGCTATTTAACAAGATGCAAATCAGAAATTTCACATGCTACTCTTGAAGCTTTTTTGAGTATTCTAGTAGCATAGGAAAACCAAGAAGAAAAGATAAGAGACTCTTAAGCTCACCTTGCCTATGGAAAGTGATGGTGTGGAAGTATAGGAAAAAGTTAATGTCTGAATCAAATTTTTAGTTTCTTAAGTTTTTCATTTCCTCACATAATGATTTCTGCCTACAATCATAACATATGGTAAAAATTTACTAAAGAAAGTTATCAAAGTTCAGTATAAAGCCATTAGTTTGAAGAATATCCTAGGATATACTAGCACTAAATAAAAAACACTAATTTCTTTGAACTCCATAGCAATTATTATTATGTTAAAAACAAAATTTTATCAACAACTTTGTTTGATTGGTGGATTTTATAAACCTATAATCATTCACTTAAAATTATCAATTAGTAAAATGGATTTTCTGCAATCTTTTAGTTTTTTATTTATTGGTATGCTCATTTTTAGTTATTGTAAACAAACCCACTCCTACTCAGCTGGTTCTGTACAAAATTGCATTCGATCATTTCAAATAGGAACCAATCCTAATGATTTTTGCAGGTGTTTATCATCTGTATGGAATAATTTTGAATCTAATTCATTTACACCAGGGATATATACTGCTCAAGTTGGAACTTTAGGTTGCTTCTTTCGAATTAGACATTATCACGAACTATCATATTCTGACTTTTTAGAAGCAGCTACTGATATATGGGATATATGTCTTGCATATTATGACCAGGGAGGTGTAATTTCACTAGATGATGCCTCCATGGAATTAAGAGTGGAGCATGCAAGGGAAGGTCTTCTAGAGACAATTTCATATACAAATATTTCATTAATATTATTTACTGTTTGTTAAATTTAAAGGAAATGACAAACAAGATAAAATAAAATTTAAAATAATTGAAATAAAAGCAGGGCTCACATATCTCTTGCATACAATAATATTTTCAATTATGAAACTTAAGATAGTGATTTCATAAAAAAAACATTCCAAATTTATGTATGATGTAAAATATTCATATTACCTATGGTTAGTGTTCAAGTGGTCATCACTTATGATTTTGTGTTAGTATATTTATGACTTCATGTAGATTTTACTATACATATTAAAATGCTTGTTTATGATGTCATAAATATATATTTTTCTTTTATGAGGTCCAAGTGTATTATTACAATGCTATAATTAACATAGTGGGATTTTGATAGCCATCAAAGTGGTTTAAATTTATTTTTGTATATAAATTAGGGTTTTTAAGTTAATCGACTATACATATTTTTATATATGAAATTGAAGGGTAAGTTTAATTGTCTATAAGGAGCATTTGGATTTATGCTTTTGGTTTAGATTTAGCTTTTGCATTATCTTTTTTATTTTTGTAGTTTTTCTATGTATGCTTTTATGTTTTTCTTCTTTTTTTTTTCATCTTCATGGCAAAGTAATATACTCCTTTTTTGTTTGACTTTTGAGTAACAATTTAGAATTTACTCAATGCTATGTGGTTACAACTAAATAATTAAATATAGTTAATTGTGATATTCACAACACATGGTGTAACTCTTCTTACTCTTGCTACCAATTTTTGCATCCAACTAGATTTCTTCCATAAGAAGCTTAGGGATTATATATACTATTAGTTTTATCATTTCACGGTGATTGCCACTATTTTAGGCCCTCTATTCCTTCTAATGGGTACAAGTAGCAATAACCTGCAAAACTTGCTCTTAACAAAATAGGTAATATGCATTATTACTTCCATTATAAAGAAGTAGGATATAGGTATTTAGAATATCCTAACATGCATAAGATGAAATCTTGTATTAATGTCATGAGGGAAGATAGTGGTGGTGAAACTGAAAGGGTTGATGAATTAGTTAATTTAGAATATGAGGAAGAAGAGGAGATGAGTTATTGTCTTCAAACTTTTCTCATAATTAATGCAAGCACTAATTCTTTAATGAATCTCATAAGCTTTATTTGCATATATTGAATCTAAATGATGATCGACATAAAAAGCCTACCCTTTTATAGTGCATACCACTAAGTTTTGGTATGATCGATAAAAAAGGATTGCATGTAAGTAATCTCTTACAATCATTTATGTTTGCTATTATGGAATGGTTTTCCATATTGTAGACCAAGTCTTCTAAAACTTGATTGTCACATATGCTTATAAAATTGAGTGGTTTCAAGGGCTTAAACTTTAAAACTCATTTTCAGAATTTGAAGAGGAATTTGGTTTTTTGCATGTAGCTACTTTAGTTGCTTTTGCTTCTCTCTTCCTCTTTTTGTTCTTCTTCTTTAATTTGTGAATTTTCTTTTGCAAATTATCAAACTCAATATTTTGAATTGTATACTACAATGTGGCATCATGCTCAAACTCTTCTTCTTTTGACTCAATCTGAGTTTTTTTTGTAATATCTCCAACAGAAGTTTCTTCCTCTTGATTCACTTGTTTAAAAAGTCTCAACATCATTAGCATAATTTCATTTTGTCATCTCATCAACTGCATACATGCTTTTATCAATAACCAAACATACATACAACATTTTTACTGAATGGTGCAATCCAACTAATCTTACAATATATCATTTCAAATTTACTAGAAAAGTTTCTACATATACAACTAAAGTAAAAAACTCTGACAAAAGTTAGATATGAATTACTAAGACAATTCCTTTGATCCTAAATATAGTGCACTTGAATTTGGAAGTAAACTCCACTATGAAATGATATGCACTTAAATGCTTTATAATTACCATCTCTTTATACCCAACATCTATATATAAAACAATATTAGATGATGTCTAACATAATTTTAACATACCAATATTTTAACCCTTTGGGCATGCTTTGGGCTTTCACTCTAGTCCCAAGAGTTAGTCTTTGGGACATGCTTAAAAATTTATTAAATATGGAATGACACTAAATTGTTAAGCTTATGAATCTATTTATACTTTATAATCAATGTGTTTGTAGATATATATGTTGCTGTTGAATTGGGATATAAGAACAACACTACAGTGTTCATAACACTTTTTATATTTTATAGATATGCATCATTAGCATATCTAAACACTTACTATAAATACCACATAAACTAAAATAAGATTAATATATAAGGCATGATAGTAAAGTGCCTAGTGGACATAGTAAATTATCACATAGCAATATTGAGAGACTAGGTTTAATATTGTGAAGGTTTTGTCACTAGTTAGTGTAATATATAACGGGATGAAAATTATTTATTAGGTTAAATATGCTTAACTAATAATATTTAAGAATTCCATCTATGCTCATCTAGTTTAACTAAATTTGAGATGTCCAATTAACTCTACTAGCATAAAAAGGGTTAATAAAGGAATTAAATTGTGCCAATTTCTTACTATCATGATAGTAAAGAGAGAGTGTTCGAAAGGATTTGTTGATAAATATCATTCAATACTCAAAATCACATTCATAACAATGATATTTTAGAAATTATGATTCACAATAATGATCCTTTAGAAATTACTTTATACAAAATGACCAGAAACAAGTTGCACTAGATCCACTGATCTTATGTTCCACCCATTAACAAAAAAAACTTTAATTACTTTCCATTCTTCTAAAAAGAAAGAATGATATGAGGTCGAAATGTGGAATAATTATACTATTATTAATATAATAGGATTTTAATAACTGTTAGATTGGTTTTAATCAAATCACTAGCTCCTATATATAAATTTAGGATAATCAAATATATACATTTCAGTATTCTATGCACTCACACATATAAAACAAAAATAAAATCAGAGATCAAAGTTCTGTGTGTTGCACAAAGTACTGCAAGATTTTTGCGATTTCTTTTCCCTGCAAAGGGCGTGTAAGTCATCAGCAGTTGATTTGAGGGACTTACATTTCTTGTTCCAAGACGAAACTCCATGTTGTAGCTCCTGCAAAATAAAAAGGAAAAAAAAAGATATTTAGATATCCCAGATTTCTCTTACATGTTTCCGGTAACTAAAGAAAAGGAAGAGTCCGAGTAACCCCAGCTGCAGAGCTCAATGTATCTCAAATGCAATAATTTTTCCTGAAACCAAGACAAAAGCCTTTAAAACTAAAAACAGAAGCGTAAGCATACCTTGAGTGGGATATCCACGAAGTGAACACCAGAAAGATTCAACACAAAGTACAGTTCCCTAGGGAACTGTGGACAAGCTTTAGGCTGCAAAACGAAGGAAGAAAGCAAAACGTTAACATTCCACAAGACGTTTGTGGTTACCACTACGTAGAACCAGGAAGATCCATAGAGAGGACATCGACTGCGCAAAAAAGCCAAATAGTCATTCCGGCAAACGTTGACATCCACTTCCCATGGCAAGGTCGCGACCTTCTTTAGAATGGCACTCCGCCATGCCTTTTCATAGCCTGTGACGTACTCCTTGGGACCATAGTTCTCCACAGTCTGTACACTGCGCGTTACAAAAAATTTAAACACTCAAAGAGAAAGACATGTTTCTTTGAATCTTACGTGAGATACTTGTCGAGATCAGTAGAAGAGCCATGCTCAGCGCGCAGTTGTAGTGCTGCTAGCATCACCGCATCAGCTTCTTCGATGACATATAGGCCGTGTACCACATCGTACGTTGCCTGTAAGGAGAAAGTCAGGCGAAAACAACAGCACAGGAAAGAACTTTGAGTTTGTTTACTGGACCATCATCGTACTTGAGCGTACTCGAATGCCCGAACTGAATCTGACGAAGCAGTGCCTTCAACAGGAAACCAGTTCCTCTTGAATAGGAGATGCACGTCAGCAAACAATCTCCTGAGCTCAGCATCCCTGATTTCCTCCTCCTCAGGATCCGTTTCTTTCGCTTCTCTGGCTGCTTTCTCCTGCATTTCCTTCTCCTTCAAATGTTCCATAGCTGAGATGCCATGTTTCAAGTCTCTGCCCAGCACCGAGTCCGGGTCCATGTTGTATAGGCACTGAGCACAGTGGTCCACGAGGAAGTGCCGTGTCCGTCTGAATGCTTGCACTTCTTCTTCCAGTTCTGGGAAGGGGCCTACGTTCCATTCCGTATACGACTCGGACAGAAGTCCATGTGTTCCAGCAAATCGTTCAACTGCAAAGCTTTCCATCACCGATTTGTCGAAGTAACAACTTTAAAAGCCTCTACCTCCATTTGTTACTATGAAGATACCATAAAAGCCAACATCTGGCAAACCAAGTCTTGCTGCAATTTCGGCAGTGACTTCTCCTCCAGTGGTCATTGAATCCATGGACACAACCTACAGCACTTTAAGTAACCAAATGAACCAGCTCTACTTATTAGTTCACCGAATATTACCTGAGCAAGTCCCCCCGGAATGGCAACGCTAATAGAAGTTACATGCATGTGCTGTAGAAATGGGAACGTTTGTCAACAAGGAAACGTGAAAGGAACCTTTGTCACCTCAGAAGCTAGAATCTCTTCTGAAGACGGAGCTACTTGCCGTGCTCCAACCCGGCAAATTTTTCGAAGCCGATTTAAGCAGTATAGTGCCATCGATCTAGCCTTCTCTTGATCGGGCATCCCTCCCACAATTCCATCCACAATCTGTTCCATTAAGGCTTGTACAGTTTCAACAAGAGTTTTCATAATACAACACGTACTTGTTTAAGATGCTCCTCCAGTACAGGTCTGAACTTCTCAGAGGGTGGAAACGTGCCAGCACAAACTGCCATTGCTTGCCAGCCCCTTGCATCACTTACTCTGAAAGCGATCACACGGATGCAGTTTAAGGAAAGACAACGACGGAGCACATTACCTGGCTGGGTTGAGAGTAGTCTGTTTGCAAATCTGGCAATAAATCTCATCGCGTACAGCCTTGTACTTGATGCCTATAAGCAAAATTTGCTGAAGATGATAAAGCCTCGTTCGCTGGATAAAGAACTTTGTCCGGAGCACCTTGTCAATCTTATTGAGAAGTTCAGACACTTTAGCTTTGGCCGGTTCCAGCTTTTGCCGAACTGGCTCTAGCTTTTGTGCGATCGATGCCTTCATCAAGCGAAGCGTATCCAGAAATTTTATCTCACTCGGCTGCACGTTCTCAGGAACAGCAGGATCCTCCATATAGTTCCGAAGATCTGTAGGAAACCAAGCACACAAATTAGAACCAAAGTCTGGTTGTAGAATGCCATGCACTGCAAACAGATGGATCAGAAAATCAAAGAAACGGGAATGAAAGATTACAGGCACCAGGTTGAAATTACGTGCAAACACAGTCGCAGCTTTAATGCTCTCAGGACTTGCAGCCAAGCTACTTAATAATGGAGCACGGAGGGTAACCTGGATAGAAAACAAAACAACGCTCTCACTATAATGAAACAGAAATAGAGAAGAAGAAGAAGAAGAAGAGTTACCCTTGAGTGCCGAATAAGCTCGTCAACGGAAATTCTTTTCCAAACCAGACGTCCAACTCCATAGATGTGCTCAGCAAATTCAGCCCGAGCGAAACGTTGGTAGGCAGAAATCGGTCCTCCAGGTGGTGCGATGACAGACGGCCTCTCGCCAACTGACCCTCTACAATGAAAAACTCAATAGTGATCAGCAAGCCGTGACAAACTTCTTTATATTTTTCTACTGTTCTTACTCGGAGGAAACCGCAGATGACGGTGGATAAGCCATCCCATCCTGCAAATCAAAGGAGTCTATCAGAAAGTTGTCACTAAATAACAAGAAGGTATCATCAGCAGGAAAAAAAAAACCAAGAACTTATCATCGAGTAAGGAGAAAGAAAAGCAAACCTGACCCTGGAACGATGGAATGGGATTTTGCAGCTGCCAAGGATGTTGGTCTTTTGGCTGAGAAAACGTCGTCTCGTCGCCTGGGAGAGCTCCCAATCTACCGAGCAGCGACCGGCGAGCGGACGATCGCCTGGCCTCAACACGCATATTGTTCCGGAATCTACTGAAAGCCAGCTCGTTCAAAGCTCTCTCCACGGGAGAGTGAGGAGGCGACTGAAGAGCACTGGTGGACGCTGGAGACGCTAGCCATGGACTAGCGGATTGATCATCTCCACCCCCGCCAGAGGTGCTAGCCTCGTGATCGTGAGTCCCTGCCAGTACTGGCTCCTGGATGACAATACCTGGAGCTGGATTTGGAAGAGGAGGGCTCGATTGAGCTTGCTCGGCCTCGGCCGCGACTGGAGCAGCGGCAGGAGAGGAAGAACTTGCTACATTGCTCTCGGCAGCGGCGGCATTGATGGGAGAAGCCAAAATATCGGGAGATCCAGCAGGATCCATCGCTACTGCTATCGATCGAGCTCCAAATCACCTGTCCCGAGGATCATCCGAGCCCTTGGCGCCCGGATGCCCTAAACGAAACCGTTGTTTGGGAGGGAAACCAAGCCCTAACGTCCAGTTTAAAAGAAGGGGAAAAGGCTCTGAGGTTTAGGGTTTATGGCGATGGAGGCCGAGGAGCAAGAAGGCGAGCGGCGCATCCCTGGTGAGTTCTTGCTGCTCAAAGGCCACGGATTTCTCCACGCCATGCTCGGTCCCGTCCTGCATTGCTCACAATCGCCGAGAAGTCCTCGCCTTGGCAGCAAATTCTTGAATCTGGGGTTCTTCCTGATCGATCGATTCTTGTGGCAGGCGCGAGGCAAACGCCTTGGAAGAGAAGCTCGCGCTGGACGGCGCGTGAGATTCTCATCCTCATCTCGGTCATGAAGAAGAAAACCTCCAGCGCCAGGGCTCTGGCGATGTGCCGGGAGAATGGCCTGCAACGCAGCTTGGAGGGGATTTTGCGCCAGTGGAGGAACATCTCGAAGAAATACAGGAGCATCCGAGACTGGGAAATCGCGAGCGGGGTCTCCTACTTCGACACGAGCCTATGCCAGCGGAAGGAGAATTCACTCCCACTGACCTTCAACCGACGATTCTACGACCAATTTGCGAACAAGATCGCTCGGCTTCCTCGGAACGAAGAAGGGTGTTCCAGGTGGAGAGAAGAAGACATGGGTGGTCAGCCAGTGCCACTAGCTGTGATCGAGCCGTATGAGTTCTACCACGAGAAGCCGCTGCTGCTGCTACCAAGGCTGGAGAAAGAAGACGCTGTCAAAGAAAAGGAAAAGGAAGCAGAACAAGTCGAGGACTGCAGTCTTCCGCAGCTCGTCTACGCTGGAAGCGAGGAGGCCATGGACGAGAATGTTGTGGCATTCGCGGATGGCTGCCTCCGGTTCGAGGACGACAACGTTGCCGACGGGTTTCTAAAGGCGCAGGTCGAGCAAGCGATCGAGCAGGCCCAAAGTGGAGAGTTTGCGAAGAAAGGAGAGAGACCCAGGCCGACACTCCAGGCTTGCCGATCGCGCCGAGAGTCACTAAAGCAGCCAAAGCACGAAGACGAACTTGAGCTCGTGGAGGAGAGAACCAAGGAAACACTCGAGGCTTCTCGATCGTACCAGTGGCACTCGGAGCGCTGGAGGAACCAGAGAATCCATCTGGACAAGCAGAGGCTGGAGCTCCTGATGAAAGCCGACGCTGCGTTCCTGGCGGCGATCAATCAGCTCGCGCTCGCCGTGCAGAGGCTCGCAGAGAAACTGTGCTGACAAAAGGTGGGCGCTGAAACTTTCATCATAAACTAACCTCTGTCGCGTTCCAGAGTGGGAGAGAGATATTTTGCAAAGTCTGGGACCCGTTTAAAACTCTTCTGCGTACGACTAGCGCTCGGAGGAGAGACGTGAGTGCGGTGCTTGCGACGAAGCTGTGGACGGATCTTTTCAACATTTTTATTCCGAGCGATCCAACAACAAGAAATGCGTAAGATCACTATCTCTTTTCTCTTGGTTTGTTTTCTTGTGCGACTAGATCTCTCTCTCTCTCTCTCTTTCTCTCTCTCTCTCTCTCGGTTTGTTCCTGCCTTTTCTTGTGCGACTAGATCTCGTGGTTTCTTCGCTAAAGTTTTTCTTTCGTAAGATTCACTCGACTCTATCTCTCTTCTCTTAGTTCGTTCTTGTCTTTCCATCTCCGCTGAAGGTATTCTTTCGTAAGATCGTCTCTTTTCTCTTGGTTTGTTCTTGGCTTTCCTTGCTCGACTAGATCTCTTAGTTTCTGCGCTAAAGTTTCTCTCTGTGGCCCCTTGTGTGGTTCTTCCAGGGAGCTTTTATTTGACTTGATTCGAGGCAGCTGCAATGCAACTACTAGTCCTCCACTAAACCGCGAAAGTTTTTCTATATATGTTATCGTACAGTGTTTATGGCTTTATAACTTTGAAACAGTCGAGAGAGCTGCTCGCGAGCCCTAAATCCCAGTGCGTGGGCGGGCGAGGGCGCTAGCGGCGATGGGAGCCCCAGCACAGATCTCCAGCGCGCGCGCTGCCCGCGGCATTGCAATCCTGGAATCGCCGAGGTCTCTGCTCGCCGGCGCCAGGGCGGCGAGGATCAGCAGCGGCGCCGTCGCGAGGAAGCTGGGATTGGTCGCGACTCGCCACATTCTTGGCGGATCTCTCCATCGCGGCGTCGCCGCCAAGCCTCCATGCGCCATCGCGGTGGAAGGTTCGGATATTTCGGTACGCTCCCAGGCGATCGAGGTGATGTCCAAGCCGACGGTGCTCGTGGCCGAGAAGCTCGGCGAGGCGGGCCTGGAGCTCCTCCGCAAGGTCGCCAATGTGGATTGCTCCTATAATCTCTCGCCCGAGGATCTGTGCGCCAAGATCTCGCTGTGCGACGCCGTAATTGTGAGGAGCGGCACCAAGATCACGCGGGAGGTGTTCGAGGCTTCCAATGGGCGGCTCAAGGTCGTGGGGCGAGCTGGGGTGGGCATCGACAATGTGGACTTGCAAGCCGCCACCGAGATGGGCTGTTTGGTCGTCAACGCTCCCACTGCCAACACCGTCGCCGCTGCCGAGCATGGGATCGCTCTCCTCGCTGCGCTCGCTAGGAACGTCGCCCAAGCCAACGCGTCGGTGAAATCAGGTACGTGAGAGAGATCTTCCCTCGATCTCGCTTTCCCTCTTTCTTATCTAAGTAAGATTTTCCGCCATTTTTTTGTTCTTACATCTTTCGTCCTGTGCTGCCAGGGAAATGGCAGAGAAATAAGTTCACTGGTGTTTCGCTCGTCGACAAGACCATCGCGGTGCTGGGCTTTGGGAAAGTTGGATCGGAAGTCGCGCGACGAGCTAAAGGTCTGGGAATGCACGTCGTTGCTCACGATCCGTATGCTCCGGCGGACAGAGCTCGGGCCATCGGAGTGGAGCTTGTTAGCTTTGACGAGGCTCTGGCGCGCGCCGACTTTATCTCGCTCCATATGCCGCTTACCCCCGCCACCAACAAGATCTTCAACGATGAGACGTTCGCGAAAGTGAAGAAGGGTGTTCGCATCGTCAACGTCGCTAGAGGTGGCGTTATTGACGAGAATTCTCTGGTTCGAGCGCTCAACAGCGGCATTGTAGCTCAGGTATTTGGCGTTTGATTGCTTGTCCACCAGTCTTTCCTTATGCGCTGCTATTTACTGTTCAGGCTGCTCTGGACGTGTTCACTAAAGAGCCTCCTGAGAAAGATGACAAGCTAGTCCAGCACGAGAATGTGATTGTCACGCCGCATCTAGGTGCAAGCACTGCCGAAGCACAAGTAAGCACTTCACTTTTCCTCTTTCAGCAAAATTATCTGTCCTTGATTACCAGGAAGGCGTGGCTCTAGAGATTGCCGAGGCTGTTGTGGGAGCTCTACAGGGAGAGCTAGCTGCCACTGCTGTGAATGCTCCAATGGTTCCATCAGAGGTAAACACTTTTATCTTTCCAGAATCCCCACTTACAATCGTGCTAACAGGTGCTAACCGAGCTCGCGCCATACATCACCCTTGCCGAGAGGCTTGGCAAGCTCGCCGTCCAGCTCGTCGCCGGTGGTGGTGGCGTGAAGGACATCACAATCAGCTACAACTCCGCTCGTGCTCCCGACGACTTGGACACTCGCTTGCTCCGTGCCATGATCGTCAAGGGCCTCGTGGAGCCCGTGTCCGACACTCACATCAACCTCGTAAATGCCGACTACGTCGCCAAGCAGCGCGGCCTCCGGATCAGTGAGGAGAGGCACCCGGCCGAAGGCACAGAGGCGGCGCCGCTGGAGAGCATCGAGGTGAGGATCGCAAACGTGGAGTCGAGGTTCTCCAGCGCCATGTCCGACTCCGGGGACGTGAGCCTGGCCGGGAGGATCAAGGACGGGGTGCCGCACCTCTCGCAGGTTGGGAGCTTCTCCATCGACGTGAGCTTGGAGGGATCGGTCATTCTCTGCCGGCAAGTGGATCAGCCGGGGATGATCGGGAAGGTTGGCGGGCTTCTGGGCGACGAGAACGTGAACATCAGCTTCATGAGCGTGGGGAGAACTTCGCCCCGCCAGAAGGCGGTGATGGCGATCGGCGTGGACGACGAGCCGAGCAAGGAGGTGCTGCAGAAGATTGGAAGCATTTCAGCGGTGGAGGAGCTGGTGTTTCTCAAGCTGTAGCAGCTGGTAGAAGGAAAGAAATAGGGAGAGATCGGATTTGATCGAGCTACGTTTTGGGAATAATGGAGGTATGTTTAGCTATGGCGGCGCCGCTCCTGGTGTGGTGATGAATCAGTGAAAATGGTGGGTTGTTTTGCTCCTCCCGTGATTCTAACTGGAGAAATCTAACTTGTGTTTTCATTGTTTTCTCTGATTGACAACAATGGTGATGCTCATGTTTGGAAGGAAACTCTTTAAAACTCTAAAGAACACTCCTTTGTTCTATTGATTTTGTTGATTTTTATAGTAGAATACTTGCTTTTGATTAACAAATTGAGTTGTCTATTGCTTTTGATAGTAGTTCTTCATTTGATCAGCACACCAGGTCATCTCTACACTTGAGCTCCTTTGCTGCTGCAGTTTCTTGTTTGATTCCTTCAAAGAAAACTCATTCTCTTCCTCCTCCACAGCCGCAACAGGAGCAGATTCTTGATCGATTGGCTGCTTGGCAAAACAGTCAAGAAGAGGATCCTCTTCTTCAAGACCCAACAAAAGATCGCTGGCATCACCATCATCCACGTTGAAATCCTTGAGACCCTAATCCCGAATCCATGCGACACCTGCTGGAGCTGTGCCTCCATGAGCAATTCCATACTCTCGAGACTTCACGTTTCGTCGTTGACCAAGATAGGGCTTTGATTCACCTGCGTTCTCGCCACCCGGCTTGCTTGGCTGCTTCTGCTTCTTGCCTCTCTTTCTCGCCCGTTCCATGTCGACATCTTTCTTAGCCCTCGTGGTACCAACCTGCGTTTGCAGATGACGCTGCGATTTACCGAAATGATAAAATAAGGGTTACAATTGTGATTAAATACTACTTTTGTTAACAGTAACGTCTAAAAAATTGACTTAAGCAAGGAGCCTGACGAGCCATTGACTCACATTTTGGGGGAAAAGAGGCCCATGTGATGACATCCTAAGCTAGGTTTCTGATAGTTTGCCACAAAATTAATGTGTAATTACCTGCATCATATGAGAAATCAATATATTTTAACTTTGTATGAACATTTTTGAATTTTAACATGCTAAAATCAACGTATTTCTTGCTTCAACTCCATGATCATTACAATCACCTTTTTCTCAATGATTTAAAAACAGTCTTAATTTTATTTAAAAACTTCTGAGCCCCATTTATTTGTTGATCTATGAAGGATCATAGAATTCAATAGAACTTTTACATGAAGTATGGTGGCTGCGGCTCGAGTGGTATTTAATAAAGCTGAAAAAGAAGTTCCTCGCTAGTCCACAATAAAGATGCACTAATCAAGTATAGAGTTTATATAATAGTTTTATTATTGGATTCTTACAACAACCAACTTAGCTTTGCTTTCCATGATTGGTATTACTAGCCTTATCATGATAAACCCTATCATCTGAGTGTTGAGGTTGGAGATCTTTTAACACGTCTCAAGCATTGGTCTTGGATTTGAACTTGGTATGCATTTATTTTCCTTTCCAATTATAGCATTTGTGTTTCTGTGCTTCTCATAGGTTTTCATCTACAGGGATTTTAATCCAGCTTCCACTTCCAGTTTCTTCATTTTTGTTTCAATGCTTACATTGCCCATCCAACAACTCACTACCACTTAACAGCCTAACACCCACCTACCATTACCTCATTACCTAAGCTTTTGAAGAGGCAGAAATGATAAAATTTATAATCACTTTGTTTCTTCAATAAAAAAAATCTGTAGTTATATAAATATGATGTTGTTGCTACATATGATTTTATAACAACAAATTCCATTTAGTACAAGCTTTTTCACACACTATATTATTCAATAATTTTATTTTAAATAAAAAATATTCTCTCTATATAATCCTATAAATATAAAAGATATATATCTAAATAAAGATGGTATAATGGAAAATTTTAAAACTATTTTTTTTCTATTTTAATTTTATGGTAGTCCAATTATGCCTATCATTGTTATTGCTTGATAACTCTTTAAAAGGCATATCTCACACTCACCGTCAAGTTTAATTCCCACCAAATAACAAGGTATATAAATTAAAATAACAATAATTTGTAATATTTAAATTATAATTTACTACATTATATGTCTTCAAGACATACAGCTTAATTCTCCATTTCCATAAGTTATATTGATATTTTTAATACAATGAAAATTTAAATAGTAGTATTCCCATTTAGTGATCACATCAGAATCAGAATAAATTAGATAATATAGATTTCATAGAATTAAATCCTAAACATTTCAGCATATTCATTATAACTCATCTAAAATAGTTAGTTTGTTTATTGGATTTCAGTTATTATTTTGTCCATATTCCTGTTACTGGACGTATATAGCTAAAGGGTATGTAGTGTTTGAGGGTTATGATGGCAAGTTGAAAAAGTGATTATTAGTTGCTATGATTAATGATTCCTTATAAACTTTGTCAAAAACTTTTGATACTTTGCTTAGCTTGTTAATGATTTAGTAATGATAAATCTGTTTTACTTGATGGTGGCATAATAATATTGTCTTATAGTGATCTTAGATGTGATTATTCACTTATTGATAATATATTATTATAGTTAAGTTCTTGAAATGAGCTTGGCTCATCCATGAACCTTATAGGTTAATACAAACAAGTACATATCTGTATAATTCTATGAATTTTGGCACTTATAGAATTGTAGAATTGGATAGAAGTGCTCAATCTCCACCTCAAGACAAGACATCACTAATGTTTGCTCATGTATAAAGGGTGTTTACATAATATATCCATTCTACTAACTAGTTATGTCAACTCATGTTTGTTTTGCTTATGGTATGAGCTCTAACTTTATTTTCCAACAGTAAACCGGCAAGAACTATGAAATTTCAGCATAAGGTAGAAAAAGATGCCATATTTACAATACATGAAAGTTCTTATATACACTTCAAGAGAATCGCTCACAGCACTTACACTTTTGATGAAGAACTGAAGACTAGTATTTTTACACAACATCAACAAATTATATGCATATATTTTTCTAGTTCTTACGAGAACTAATATTTGTTTAACTCATTAATTATTTTTAACTATCTCTATAAGCATAATAACCTCACAAACTCACTTCTTCTCTATAGTTTTATACACCTCATGTCCACTTAGACATTATAATTTAGACTTCTAACCATTCAGTTGTTATGTGTTGTTTCAGTATGCCTCCTTCTAAAGATAATTTAGAAATAGAAGGATTTAGAAATTACATACTCTAAACAAAACAATTGAAGAGTTTGTCTGTGGGTTTTCCTCTAGTAACTCATTGTTATGGTGTTCCACTCTTAAACTCATTGAATCATCATCGAATCTGATTATACTTCCTGCTTCTGAATATGCAAGACATATATTCCATGTGTCATCTACAGCCTCTGCAAAGTCACTGGATGTTAATGGGTGGTAGCGCCCAACCCTGAAAAAACAACCTAATGTTCCAACTCGTGTAGTATATAATCCTGGTAGAAATAAATTGGAAACAAAATTATACCACACTATGGCTGTACATATACAGTAATCATTGGGATCTGTTCGTATATGAAACCTTCTAATGCATGTCTGATAAGTTCCAACAGAATAAGAATGAGTTTTTCTATAACAAGCAAGAAATATTGCTATAATAGAAATAAGGGATTTCCTTTCCATAGCTATATAAATTAGTAATCAGAATGTTTTTTTAAGGGATTATAACGATTTGAATGGGACAAGTAATGTTGACTCGTGAAACATAAATTTAAATAAGTATTGTCGTAATGAGGGAATATTAGTCGGCAGTATCAGACAAAATAAGTTGATTATACTTGTTTTGTTCTATTAAATTTGTCTGATTATACTTGTTTTGTTCTATTAAATAAGAAATGTAAGGACTCCTATGCTCGCTCCTCCAAACAGCATCACTTGCCCATGGTGCTCTATAAGATTCTTAATTTCCTACAATAGCTCCAATGTACTCTTAACTTCCAACTTCTACCGGCTTTTGTTCGTTGTCCATGATTAGGATGAGCAAACCAGCTGCGACAAGCTTCATCGACTCATCGATCATTGCATTGAAAGCAAAACATATGGAGCTGCGCCTTGAGGTCCCAGCTCCATAACCTGATCCTTTACTTGCATTGCTCGGCCATGATCTCTCTGGATCTTGCAAGCACCCAACAATGTCACCCATGCCACAATATCTGCTTCAAATGGCATGCTCTCTAGCAGCTCCCCGGCCTCTTGCAATCTACCAGATCGTCCCAGCAGATCAATGATAGAGCTGTAGTGGTCAATTGTAGGATCCAACCCGAAATCTGTGACGGAATAAAAGTAGAGTAGGCCCGCGTCAGGATTTCCTGAGTGGTTGCATGCTGAGAGAATGGCTAGCAAGGTTATATTGTCAGGCTTAATACCTTCCAGTTGCATCTGCCAAAACAGTTCCATGGCGCTAATACTGTATCCAGCAGAGTTGGCATATGCTGTGATCATTGTGTTCCAAGATGAGGAATCTCTGAATTCTAGTTTATCAAAGATTATTTTAGCTTCTTTGAAGCTACCGCAGTTTATATACATGTTGATTAGCGAATTCGCCACCTTTGTATTGCAACCCATGCATTTGTGGTTTGAAAAGTGAGAATGGGCAAGTTGACTTTGCTTTAAAACACCAATTTGGGAACATGCATCAAAGACTACTACCAGTGTAGACTCGTCCACCTCAATTCCTTCAATGTCCATTTCTTTGTAGAGATCCAGTGCCTCTTTTCCTAAACGGTTGTGAGTATAAGCCGAGATCATGGCATTCCAGGAAACTGAGTTCCTGCAAGGCGTCTGATGAAAGCACGACTTTGCTCCATCCAAATCTCCAACATTGGCATTTGCCGTAATCATTGTCGTCCACGATATCACGTCTGGTTTGTAAGTAAAACCTGCAAAAAGATCCCTTGCTTGATGCAACCCTTGGTTTTGAGCATACACTCCAAGCATTGCGTTCCACGACTCGAGATTCTTTCTTGGTATAACATCGAACATTTCCTTTGCTTTAGAGACTTGTCCCAGCCGACCATAACCAAATACCATAGCATTCCAAGATACAGTGGTGGGAATGGGCATTTTATCAAAAAGCTTTTTAGCGTAGTCCATCTCTCCCGCATTCACAAATGCCGATAGCATCGCATTCCATGCAACGGTGTCCTTGACAGGCATGCTCAGAAACAAAGAGTGAGCTTTACGAATATCCCCAGAGCGAGCATATGCCGTAAGAATCACCGTCCAAGAGGTGGCATCTTTGTTTGGCATGGAATCAAACAGTGCCTTGGCCTCGTCGAGATTGCCAAGGTTGACACACGCAGTGACCATGGAAGTCCATGCCACGATATCTCGTTGTGGCATCTCGTCAAAACATATTCTAGCTTCGTAAAGATTTTTGCTGCAAATATAAGCATTTAGCATTGTATTCCATGTGATCTCGTCCTTTTCAGCCATCTCTTTAAAGAGATTAATGGCCTTGTACAAATGCCCGTTATTGGCATATGCTAAGAGCATTGCGTTTGAACATACTAAATCTTGTTTGAGATGATTTTTATAAATGTTTTCCGCTTCGACTATGTTTGCTTCATGGCCATATGCTTTGATAAGAACAGCGCTTGCAATGGCTGTTGGATGTGGCACTCGATCATAGAAACTTCTTGCTTGCACAATATCCCTGTTCTGGGCAAATGCGGTTACTATGCTATTCCAAGAGATTTTGTCCGGTCGGGGAATACTCTCGAAAACTCTTCTAGCTAGAGACAACTGCCCCGCGTGAGCATACGCTGCCAGCAAGGAATTCCACGTCACCACGTCCCGACACGTCATCTGGTCAAAGATCTCCCTGGCGTGACGTGGATCCGCGGCACGGGCGTACGAACCAATCATCGCGTTCCACGTCAAAAGCCCCTTGTGTGGCGCTGGCATCTCATCGAAGATCTTCCTGGCCTGGGACACATACCCCGTCCGGGCATACGCGACGAGCATCGCGTTCCACGAGTGGGAATTGGGCGCTTCCATCGCGTCGAAGATCTGGCGCGCGAGATCGATGCTGCCGCATCTGGCGTACATTGCGATGAGGAGATTGGCGAGGTAATTGTCGCGGCGGTGGGAATCGCTGGAGAGAATGACGTTGTGGAGAAGCTTGCCCTGGGCGAGATCCCTGTTCTTGGCGCACGCCTTGAGGCGCGCCGCCAAATCGGCGGCGCTGGGAGGCGATTGTCCAAGGGGAATCGCCATAGAGTCTTTCTTATTTTAAAATGCGGGGAATAGAGGATTAGGGTTAGAGCGGGCTGCGAGCACAACGCGAGAGAGGCGCTACCACCGCGGCCACGGCGATTCATCGGCGACTGGCTCGAGCAATCGATCGCTCTTGCAGGAATCTCTATCCTAGTGCGCAGGGGTTTCGCGGAATTAGGGTTTAGGACTTCTGGATTGCTCTCCTCTCTCCGAGAATGTGAGAAGGAAGAACTTCGATGGGCAATGAGTGGGATCCTCAGCAAAGCGTAGTGAGCGATGGCGCTGCGGTAGCGGCAGGGGCAGCGTCTTGGGGCTGGAATCACCAGGATGCGTCGATAGTCTCCTCCTCCACGCCATCGACGGATGCAAACTATCAGCAGCAGTGGTACGCCTACTACGCAGCTCAAGCGGCCCAACAGGTAAGCCATCTTTTTCTTTTGGGGACTTCGGTAGTGAAAGTAGTTTTCCATTGTGTCTCAGGCTAGCGTGGCTGATAACTCCGCTACCACTGCGACGACCACAGTGATCACTTCTCCAAATCCGCCACCTCTTCCATCCGCTCCGCCGCCTCCAGCCCCGCCTCCGCCGCTCCCGAGCTCCGCAGCATGGAATGCTGTGCCTCCTCCTCCGCCGCCACCTCCGACAACTTATGGAACTTATCAACAAACACAAGCTCAACCAGCAGAGACTCAAGAGCCTGGATCATCCTACATCCAAGACGCCAAGACTCCAGCAGCAGCCACAGCTCCAAGCACTTACACGTATCCAAGTAGTGAGCAGTATGGCTATGCGAGCTCCAATTATCAGAGTTATGGCTATGGCTACGCGCAGCAAGGTAACGAATCTTACTCTCAAAACGTGGGACCTTACGCAAGCTCAGGTGCTACATATCAGCCCACGTCCTACCCGAGCACAAGCACTTATTATGGTAATGGTGTGTATCAGCAAACTGGAAGCTATCAGGCTGCTGCTTACAATGGCTGGAGCGACGCCAGCAACAACGTGGCCGCCACCAGTGCCGGCAGCAGCTACTATCCAAGCTATCCAGGATACTCGGCTCCAAGCGCAGCTGGGACATACCAGACACAGTATCAAAAGCCAGGGGACTACTATGCGAGCATGCAACAGGCTACTGAGACTAGTGGTCCTCCAGGGACCGAGGCAGCTGCTCCAGCTAGCGCGACTCATCAAGCCCCTCCTCCTTCGTCGTACGCCAGTGTGGTTGCCCAGGGATACTCTCAAACGACGCAGCCGCCGCCTCCTGGTACTCAGCCTCCACCGGCATGGCCATCTCAGGTGCGTGTATAGTTTTTGTTCGCAGTTTTGTAATTGTGTTTCTTTGTTTTGCTGCAGGGAAACTCGGCGACAAACGGACATCCTCAGTATGTTCCTCCGACTGCTAGCCAGCCCAACACATACCAACAGCCAGTGCGGCCGTTGCAGCAGCCATACTCTCAGCAGACAAATCTGTTCAAGTCCCCGGTGAAGGTCTGTATACTGATTTGGTCACGGGTTGATGATGGTTATTTACCATTGGCTGGCTGCCTCAGATACAAATGAATCCAAGAATGCCGCAAACACTACCGCAAACACCAGCATACGTCAGTGTTGCCGGTAAAGTCTCTTCTGGAAAATCCCTCACAACTGATGTGTCGAATGCGGCACTTAAGGTAGTTATTCATGGCTTTTTATTTTGCTCTGAGCCGCTTCCTTTGTTCTTGCTCTAGCCTGGGATGTTTCCTCCTTCCTTGCGTGCATACGTTGAAAGAGCTTTGGCGCGGTGCAAGAACGAGGCTCAGAAAGGGGTATGCCAGCAGATGATGAAGGAGGTAAGTCTATCACTTTGAAGTCTTTCTGCATGCATGATATGAAATCTCTGTTACTTGCAGATAATTACGAAAGCATCATCTGATGGTACGCTATTTACAAAGAACTGGGACACGGAACCACTGTTTCCTCTACCGGGTGTAACAGGGGACGGAAAGGGGTATATTGATTGAAGTATGTTGTTTTTCTTTTCTAACTTGTCTGGGTACAGGGACCAACCCTTCACGGTCAAAAAGACCAGGAGCAGATGGGAACCCGCGACGCCGAATAATGATGCCAACCTCAGCAATATTCAGAAGGATATGGGAAAGGCCCTTCTTCTAAACCAACAAACTAGTTCCGTAAGTGTTAAAAGAAGCTACTCGAAATTTCTTACGGAGTCTTACAGGTTGGATCCATGAGCTGGGTAAAACGGGATAGTCCGTGGGCCAACAAGCCAAAGGGTTTCCAGCCACTGCAACATCCTCAAATTCCGCAACAGCCACAGCCACAGCCACAGCAAATACAGGGACAGATACCGCAAGTCCAGGTGCAAGGCCAACAGGTGGAGCAGAAAAACTTGCTGGATAAAACGAAGCCTAATGGAAAGAGGCCGCGGAAGTCGATATTGAACGAAGATTCAGATGCGTCAGGCGAGGACAAAGAGGTCCCTGAGCTGGTCGGAGTTACTTTAGGAACCATAACAACTCAAAATCCTGAGGAGAATAAGAGGCGTCAGACAAGGTCTAAACGGTTTGAAAACTGCAAGGGTGGCGCCACGGTTGTGAAAAGTTTTGTGAAAGGTCGGGGTGGCAGTGCGAGTAACAGAAGAGCTTCTGCATTGAAGATTGCTCTAAGCTGTGGAGATGGGAATGGACAGGCTGTGGAGGACATCGACTGGGACTCATTGACGATTAAAGGGACGTGTCAGGAAATTGAGAAACGCTACTTACGATTGACCTCTGCTCCTGACCCAGCAACTGTAAGCTCAGGTCTTTTGTAAGTTCTCGTGCTGACGAGCTTTTTTGTTTAGGTGAGACCGGAAGAGGTACTTACGAAGGCTTTGAAAATGGTGGAGTCGACATCCAAAAACTATTTCTACAAGTGCGAGCAGCTAAAGTCAATTCGACAAGATCTTACGGTACAGAGAATACGGAATGAACTCACTGTCCAGGTTGATTGAATTTTTTATTTCTTTCTTTTTGCAACTGCTAATATATAATACAGGTGTACGAAGTTCATGCTCGAGCAGCATTAGAAGCAGGTGACCTGGCAGAATACAATCAGGTATACATTCTGCTTTGTAGTTTGTCTGGCCATTGATCCTTTCTTGCTGGTTTCAGTGCCAAACACAGCTAAAGACTCTTTACTCCGAGGGGATTTCCGGTTGCTGTAACGAATTCACCGCGTACAGCTTGTTGTATATTATTTTCCAGAATGGAAGTAACCGAGATCTTTTGTCATCAATAGCAAGGTATGTCCTATAAGTAGTTTAGAAACTCCAGTGACCTTTTTCCCACGTAACAGGCTGACACCAGAGGCCCGAGAAGACGAGGCAGTTAAGCACTCTTTAGCCGTGCGTGGTGCCGTGGCCCTGGGAAACTACATCATGTTCTTCCGGCTATACAAAACGGCTCCAAATCTCAACTTCTATTTGATGGGTAAAGACCTCTTCTCTTCGAAGTTTAGAAAAGCGGTGCTCACGCGAAAGTAATATGGCAGATCTTTACGTGGAGAGGATGCGTTTTGAAGCCCTGAGGTGTATGTCTCGGTCGTACAGGCCGACGTTACCTCTGGAAGTGATAGCTCGGACGCTGGGATTCACAAATGGAGCACAGGCTGACAAGGATGTGCTCGACGAGTGCGAAGAATGGGTGAAAGCTCATGGCGGGCAAGTTGTCGTGGACAGCGCTAGTTCTGAGCGGCAATTCGATGCAAAGGTACTGTCGATGAGAGATTTTGTAGAGATTCACTTTCTGATTTATTGCAATGTTTGTTTTTCCCTCTATTTCACAGGCAAGCGCTGCCACCTTGTTCATGCCGGAACCAGAAGACGCGGTTGCTCACGGCGATGCTAACCTCGCCGTCAACGACTTTTTGACTCGTTCGGCCCAAGCTTGAACGCTTTGGGAGGTAAAAGTTAGCAAAAAGGAGGAGAGCGATTCTTTGCCATTTCCACGAGGAAGTGTAATAAGATGGAGGGGGGCTGCTGCAAACTTAGAGAGGAAATTTTGTTGTATTGAAATACAATTGTACATTACCCAAGCTAGATTGGACCACCAGATCATCGACGCCGTACTCATCGCCAGGATTCTCGAGGGCTCGGTTGGTGTGGATCGTGATCGACGGTCGTGTTTTTGTTGAGTCAGTAGGAGAGACAAAGTTTGCATCTACCTTTTAATATCTCTTGTGATTGTTTGTGTTGAGGAAGTTCATCTGGTTTATAAATTTTAGCTAGTATAATTTTTCCAAAAACTACAAACAAGAATATACGCTTATTATTGTCTATCATTAGAAATTATTAATGTGTTTTTGTTTTATTCTGTTTGGATCTTATAAACCCAAAGCATTCCATAAAAATTATTAGTGAGAATATGAAATTCTGGAAATCTCTTGTATTTATATATCTTATATTTATTTGTTGTAGAGTAGCCCACTCTTACTCCTCTGAATCCTTTCAAACATGCATTAGAACTTTTAGAAGAGCAACAAATCCTGAGGAATATTGTAGATGCGTAACTATGGTATGGAATAATTTTGTACAGAGTTCATATGCATCTGGATTTTATACTGCAAGAGTTGGAACTTTGGGTTGCTTCCTTCAAATTGGATGGAACCACCAATCAACATTTAATGACTTTACAGAAGCTGTTACAGATATATGGAATATATGTCTTAGTTATTATGACCCAGGAAGCATACTCACTTTACGTGATGGGTCTCTGTCTTTACGAGTGGAGCATGCAAGGGATGAACTTCTAGATACAAAATCAAATATAAAATCATCCAAATCATTATTTTCTACTTGTAATTTATGAAATATATTTATCAAATTTATATTCTCAAATTATATAAAAAACAAAAGTAAGAACTAGAAGTATTGATAAAATAATTTAACAGGAAAAATAATTCACTTTTATTTACTTATTATTATTATAAGTTTTTATAATTTCATTATTTTAACTTAAAAACTG